ACGTCCAATCCAAGCCCGGGCTGTCGGCTCGAATAGATCAGTACCGCACTTCTGAGTCTCCTAACCTGACAGACGAGGACGTTTCACAGCCATTTAGCGAGACTCTGAGCTCCTGAGTGTCGGGAAACGTGGAACCCAAAGGGTTAAACTCGAGACGGTTTTCAGTGTTAAAGGGGGCGGGGCCTCAAATTTCGGTTAGTATAGATAATTATGTAGTAGACAGGACACGGAAATGCAGGACAGTCTGCTGCTGTCACTGAAACAGACAGATGTGACCTGGGTCCTGGCGCCCCTCCTGTTCAGGTCTGCTGTCACTCCTCACCCCCAATTTTCACCGCATCCAGAACGGTTCCAATCCAGAACAGCGGCGATTTTCGCCATCCGCCAATTTCTACCAGATCCGTTTGTGAGGCAAATTTGCGGCGGATTACAAACAGCAGGAATTGTAACCCTCAGATTCACGTTCAATCGCACGAAGACAGACATAGACACACATAGACATATAAGCAGTAGATTGTGTCCTTCCAGAGGAGGAAATCTACTTCTAGACTTCTAGAATCAGCATCTCCTCATCCATGGTGTCATCGGGGTGAAATGACGTCTAAAAACCTTTCACTTGTTCGTCTCCGCCCGTTTGCATGGTGTGAAATACGATCCTCCTGAAACACGGAGTGTTTTATTTTGAAAAGAAGCCGGATGTTTTATTTTGAAGTCTGTGCTCGACTTCCTTTCCAGCACGGGTTAATCTGTGCTGAATTTATCCGCCATGCTCCGGCGTCCAGAAAAAATAGAACTCTTGTGATCAGCTGAGGAGTCCGGCGATCCGCAGAGGAACGGAAAGAAGTCGGTGTAAATTGACACGTTAACTTGAATGGTTACGATCAGCTACGATCGGAGGATACGACCTTTGAGGAGACCATCAGGATGAAGGTGGAGGTTGGGGGTAATCTACTGAAGCTGCAGTACTGGATCTGAACTACAGGGGGCAGATCTCTTTTGTTATCAGCCTAGATGTCACACCGTAGATCTGCTCCGTCTCATCAGATCTGAACTTTGTTTTTTTTTTTTCAGCTAAGGTTCTGCTGGAGTTAGCCGAAGGTTCATCTGTTTCCACGGCGACCAAGCTGTTTGTGGACGCAGGTCTGACCCCCCACCTGACGGGCTCCGAGGCTCTGACCCTGCTGGCTCCTCTGGACGAGGCGTTCAAAGGTAACAGCTCCCCCTGCTGACCTCTGACCTCCAGGACTCTGCGTCACTTTTCACGTTGTCGTTAAAGTGATGATTCACTGTGGTGTGTGTGTGTGTGTGTGTGTGTGTGTGTGTGTGTGTGTGTTACAGGTCCCGTCTCCATGACCCCTGACATGAGGACTCTGCTGACCAACCACGTCCTGAAGGAGCAGCTGTCCTCCAACTCTCTGTATCACGGTCAGGAGCTGGAGACGCTGGGAGGACTCCGCCTGCGAGTGTTCGTCTACAGAAACGTGAGAAACTCATTTTTGAGTCTCTGAGACCGTTTTCAGATTCAACAACTAAACCAGCAGTTCGGACCGATTTACCCCAAATGTAGTTTCCAGTATTCAGGAGGTGAAAGTAACAGCTTTAAATACAGTTACCCACAATGCAAAGTGCTGAGCAGACGGCAGAATAGCAGAGAGCGGCAAAACTTTTCAGCAGAGTCCTCCTGACAGCCTGTCCTCTTCTTCTTCTTCTCCTTCTCCTTCTCCTTCTTCTTCTTCTTCTCCTTCTTCTTCTTCTTCTTCTTCTTCTTCTTCTTCTTCTTCTTCTTCTTCTTCTTCTTCTTCTTCTTCTTCTTCTTCTTCTCCTTCTTCTTCTTCTTCTTCTTCTTCTTCTTCTTCTTCTTCTTCTTCTCCTTCTTCTTCTTCTTCTTCTCCTTCTTCTTCTTCTTCTCCTTCTTCTTCTTCTTCTTCTTCTCCTTCTTCTTCTTCTTCTTCTTCTTCTTCTTCTCCTTCTTCTTCTTCTTCTTCTTCTTCTCCTTCTTCTTCTCCTTCTTCTTCTCCTTCTTCTTCTTCTTCTTCTTCTCCTTCTTCTTCTCCTTCTTCTTCTTCTTCTTCTTCTTCTTCTTCTTCTTCTCCGACAAGAACGTTTGTTTTCATACCGAACAGTTTTTATCTCCATCTCCATCAAAGCCTCAAATTTTCCGCCTTCTCCTCGTCCTTTATTCTGTACGGTACGCCTGATGATGACCACACACAGCGCACGCCATCAGCCATGTTTCCATCCCACAGCTGGACAGTCAGCTGACATTAGAGGGGGTCTGAACAGTCGGACTGACAGGAGACGGGAGTTTGGATTGGAGGGTTAACTGATGATGGATCAGAGGGTCATCAGTTTACACGATCGGCCAACAAAATAACATTTCACTTTGAGACATCTGAAACTTTTTCCTCGCCAAAGCGAGAGCGACAAAAGAGCGATGACGAAAACCATGAACAAGGTCAGTCACATTTTTAGGAGGTTCTGTTTCAGCCCAGTCATCTTTGAGCCCAACGGACCGACACAGTGTGACCAAAAACCATCAACGAGGACAACAGAACCGACAACAGAACCGACAACAGAACTTTGAGAATCAAACGCCGCCAGATCATCGACGAGTCATCGCAGAGACAGAACAGGTTCTGATGGTTTTGGACTAAAAAATCCAGAAAAATCAAATTAAAACAGAAAAGATTTTTTTCAGTGAGTAAATGAACGAACAACTCTGTGAGAGTATGATGGACTTTTCCAAACTGGAAACCAGTTAAACCAGTTAAACCAGTTAAACCAGTTAAACCAGTTAAACCAGTTAAACCAGTTAAACCAGACCAACCAAACTACAGAATAACAGCCGACTGTATACTACTATAGAACTCAGTACTCAGTACTCAGTATGAAGTATCTACTGTATACTACTATAGAACTCAGTACTCAGTATGAAGTATCTACTGTATACTACTATAGAACACAGTACTCAGTACTCAGTATGAAGTATCTACTGTATACTACTATAGAACACAGTACTCAGTATGAAGTATCTACTGTATACTACTATAGAACACAGTATGAAGTACTCAGTATGAAGTATCTACTGTATACTACTATAGAACTCAGTACTCAGTAGTCAGTATGAAGTATCTCCTGTATACTACTATAGAACACAGTACTCAGAATGAAGTATCTACTGTATACTACTATAGAACACAGTACTCAGTCTGAAGTATCTACTGTATACTACTATAGAACACAGTACTCAGTATGAAGTATCTACTGTATACTACTATAGAACACAGTACTCAGTATGAAGTATCTACTGTATACTACTATAGAACTCAGTACTCAGTATGGACTGAATACTGCGGTCAGCAGCAGTCTGCAGAAGGACTAATTGGAAACCAGCCCTCGACTCGGGTTTGGATCAGATCCTCTGCAGCTGATTGGGTTTGTGGTGGTGGTTTTCAGGGTCTGGTTCTGGTCTGCAGCTCTTTGTTGTGGCGTGTTTAACCAGAAGCTGTTTGTGGGTCTGGTTCTGGGTTCAGACGGGGATTCCTGTTCCCTGGAAAAACTCGCCCGTCGTCTGTTTCTGCAGAATTTCTCGCTCAGATAGTTTCCACATGATCCCACTCCGATGGTTCCTGTCAGCTCGCTGAAGCAGCTGCTGTGTGGGAACAGATCCGTTTGTCAGGCTGTCTGTTGGGTCGTCTGTTGCCGGGCGGATCAGGAGGATGGTCCATCTTCGTTGGCCGTAAATACAGTGTGGTGATGTCATGAGGTCGACGGGTTCCTGTCTGTTTGTCATTAATGGCGTGAATCACGGCGTGTCTCAGGAGTCAGACAGAAAACAATGAAGTGTTTGTAATTAAAAGATATTCTTCAACAGCAATGACAGCGTGAACCGACCCGGGCCCATTACTGCGACCACATGATGTCATCATGATGTCATCACGCCGCCCTGTGGGGACGTGAATCAGAGCGGCGAACAGCAGAGTCAATGTTCTGGTTCTGGAGGAAATAAAACCTCAAACCTCCTCCAGACCAGGATCCAACCTGACCCCTGTGTGTACACAATCTGAGCTCAACTGCCCCCCCCAAGGGGTGTTTCCATGGCAACGGAAGTAAACAAACATGGTGTCTAAGGAAGAGGGTCAAAATCTGTACCTGCAGCTCAGAAGGAGGTCGGGAAGATGAGAGAGAAAATATTTTTGATTCCAACAAAAATGAATTAAAAAAAGAGTGAAATGACGTTTGTTCTCATTTGATCTCATCTGAACTCTTAAAGGGATGAGCGTTCGGGTCAGAACCTCTCAGAACCAGCTGAACTATCCTGCAGAGTCCACCGTTCATAGAAAACTGTACTCCACGTCCTGTTACTGCCGTAAAACCTCAGGTGACGCCTGGTTCTGCCACATCTAGGTGGTTCATTTCTACAACAGAGACGGTGACGGCTCTGAGAAATCAGCGTCAGGTAAAAATCGAAGAAAGCTCCGCCCACAGGTGAGACAGGTGAGACAGGTGAGACAGGTGAGACAGAGGAGCAAACACGCGAACAGCTGATTTATGGTCAGGAATCCTGTAGGTCACGAAAACACAAACAGTCAGATCATTTGGGGTCTCAGGTGGTCGTCTGGACTGGTCTCTGCTGGTCTCTGGTGGTCTCAGGTGATCTCTGCTGGTCTCTGGTGGTCTCCCCCCTGTGGCTCCACATGTTTCAGGTCCTGGACTTGTGGGTGGTTCGCATTTCTGCTCACTAATGAACTCCACAGACCACAAAGAGTTTCCTGCTTCCCACGGCTGCTAAATCTTTCCAGACACAGTGTGTGTGTGTGTGTGTGTGTGTGTGTGTGTGTGTGTGTGTGTGTGTGTGTCTCACATCGTTATGATGGTTTCTTTGTTCTGTCTCTCATGACTTCATGATGTTTTCCGTGAACGTTCAGCAGACTAACAGACGTGACTGACTGCGTTTCTCTCCCAGAAGTTAAAGTTCATCGTCTTTATTTCAGCAGCTGTTCACCTTCAAACCAAAACTCATGTCAGAAAAGACCGAAATATTCTGTTTCAGATCTAAACATGTTCGACTCAGCTGATCTCTGTGGACCCAAAACCCCCAAAATAAACAAACAGGGTGGATCGGCACAAACCGATACAACCTGACTTTGACTAATCAATGAAAGTGATCGATCGAACTCTGATCCAGAAACAACAGAGACGGACTCACTGAAAACAGAGATCAGCTTCGTTAGAGAACACCCAACTGCAGTCTAAGTCTATATCAGTCTATGTCTATATCAGTCTAAGTCTATATAAGTCTATGTCTATATCAGTCTAAGTCTATATAAGTCTATGTCTATATCAGTCTATGTCTATATCAGTCTAGATCTATATCAGTCTAAGTCTATATCAGTCTAAGTCTATATCAGTCTATGTCTATATCAGTCTAGATCTATATCAGTCTAAGTCTATATCAGTCTAAGTCTATATCAGTCTAGATCTATATCAGTCTAAAGTCTATAGCAGTCCAAAGTCTATATCAGTCTATGTCTATATCAGTCTAAGTCTATATCAGTCTATGTCTATATCAGTCCAAAGTCTATATCAGTCTAAGTCTATATCAGTCTAGATCTATATCAGTCTAAGTCTATATCAGTCCAAAGTCTATATCAGTCCAAAGTCTATATCAGTCTAGATCTATATCAGTCTATGTCTATATCAGTCTAAGTCTATATCAGTCTAAAGTCTACATCAGTGTAGATCTATATCAGTCTAAGTCTATATCAGTCTAAGTCTATATCAGTCTAAGTCTATATCAGTCTAGATCTATATCAGTGTAAGTCTATATCAGTCTATGTCTATATCAGTGTAAGTCTATATCAGTCTAAGTCTATATCAGTCTAAGTCTATATCAGTCTAACGTCTATATCAGTCTAAGTCTATATCAGTCTGTCTATATCAGTCTAAGTCTATATCAGTCTAAGTCTATATCAGTCTAAGTCTATATCAGTCTAGATCTATATCAGTCTAAAGTCTATATCAGTGTAAGTCTATATCAGTCTAGATCTATATCAGTCTAGATCTATATCAGTCTATGTCTATATCAGTCTAAGTCTATATCAGTCTAGATCTATATCAGTCTATGTCTATATCAGTCTAAGTCTATATAAGTCTATGTCTATATCAGTCTAAGTCTATATAAGTCTATGTCTATATCAGTCTATGTCTATATCAGTCTAGATCTATATCAGTCTAAGTCTATATCAGTCTAAGTCTATATCAGTCTATGTCTATATCAGTCTAGATCTATATCAGTCTAAGTCTATATCAGTCTAAGTCTATATCAGTCTAGATCTATATCAGTCTAAAGTCTATAGCAGTCCAAAGTCTATATCAGTCTATGTCTATATCAGTCTAAGTCTATATCAGTCTATGTCTATATCAGTCCAAAGTCTATATCAGTCTAAGTCTATATCAGTCTAGATCTATATCAGTCTAAGTCTATATCAGTCCAAAGTCTATATCAGTCCAAAGTCTATATCAGTCTAGATCTATATCAGTCTATGTCTATATCAGTCTAAGTCTATAGCAGTCCAAAGTCTATATCAGTCTAGATCTATATCAGTCTAAGTCTATATCAGTCTATGTCTATATCAGTCTAAGTCTATATCAGTCTAGATCTATATCAGTGTAAGTCTATATCAGTCTATGTCTATATCAGTGTAAGTCTATATCAGTCTAAGTCTATATCAGTCTAAGTCTATATCAGTCTAACGTCTATATCAGTCTAAGTCTATATCAGTCTGTCTATATCAGTCTAAGTCTATATCAGTCTAAGTCTATATCAGTCTAAGTCTATATCAGTCTAGATCTATATCAGTCTAAAGTCTATATCAGTGTAAGTCTATATCAGTCTAGATCTATATCAGTCTAGATCTATATCAGTCCAGATATAGAGGGCACACATGCTCAGTGGTCCGAGTCCAGAACCCTGTGGAACTCCATGACTCAGTTTTTCTAACATTAGATTCTTACTTTGGTATGACAGACCGACCAATCAGAGCCCTCCAACCTTCTCTGTCTGCAGGTGGAGGTTCAGGTGTCGTTGAGGCTTCAGTCAGTCGGGTTCTTGTGTGTAGATCTTAGTGGATCTTGGAGGATGATGTAGTTCTGGTCTCACGTCCGCCCTCCTCTCTGTGTCTGTAGAGCCTCTGCATCGAGAACGCCTGCATCGCCGCTCACGATAAGAAGGGCCGATACGCCACCCTGTTCACGGTGGACAAGGTCCTCACCCCTCCCATGGGGACAGTGATGGACGTGCTGAAGGCTGATGACCGCTTCAGGTGAGTCCTCGTCTGTAACCTTCAGGAGAGCTCCTTTGAGCGGAGACGTCGTTTGGACACGTGAGAGAATCAAACAGAAACTGGGATGAGTCAGAGTGTTCAGGACGTTCCAGGAGCTTTAACGACGTGGACTCAGAGAGTTCAGCTCTGATGGTTCCAGCAGACGCCATCACCTCCTCCTCCTCCTCCTCCTCCTCCTCCGCCTCCCTGTGTTTTCTCAGGCTCAGGATTCCTCCAGCAGGACTTCACTAACAGCTCTCAGTCTGATCATCATCAGGCTCTCAGCTGTCGTTAAGTCTCCACATGATTGAACGTGGAGGGTCTCTGTGGGGTCTCCACCTTCTGGTCTGCTGTGAGGAGGAGGAGGAGGAGGAGGAGGAGGAGGAGGAGGAGGAGGAGGAGGAGGAGGAGGAGGAGGAGGTGTGCTGACGTGAACCTGTTCTGCAGGGAAACACAAACAGAGAGGCCGTCGATAAAAGAAGAGCAGCCTCATTAAAAAGGTGAAAATCTCTCCTCTGTGGTTCAATAACGTCTTCATGAAGAAAAACCAGCGAGTGCATGAAGAGCTTCACAGCCGCTGAATAAACCTGGAGCTCAGACTCGCTCTGACGTCTTTTTAAAATTTGAATCAGAATAAAGAGTCGTGTCCAGAAATGAAAAATCAGCATATACCGGGAAAAAACGACAAAGTTACAACAAAAAAACCATGAAGACACTTGGACGAAGTGGAGGAAGACGCTGAGACCTTCACAGAGGCAGGAGATCACTGAGAGCGAGAACTTGGTGAAGAAGGAAAGGGAACAGTTCTGCTCCCTGAGATGGACCCGCTCCTCCTCACACCTCCTGAAGAGGGAGACAGAGAGAGGTCAGAAACATGTCTTCACAAAACACGGCAGAAACAGGATCAGAAGATCTGAGTTAGAGTCGATTTTAATGAGAAGAAGAGGTCCGAGGATCGACCCCTGTGGAACTCCACTGATACTCAGTAAATACACACGTGTGTCACAGAGGCGTCTTTCTAGAAGATCTCAGTCTGGACCTGTTTCAGAGGTTTGTCTTCAGCCTCCCAAACGTCCCGTAGAAACCAGCTGACAGCAGAAGTTTCCATGAAAAGAGTCTCAGATTAGAGCAGAGTCTGTGTCTTTCCTGTAAATGAATGTTGTTGTTTTCTCCGCTTTAAAATAGATTTACACACACACACACACACACACACACACACACACACACACACACACACACACACACACACACAGAAGTGTGTTTTTATTTTCAAACATCTGCCTGTTAAACTGAACATCTTTTTCTGCGTTTGTTTGGGTTTCTGGTCCAGAACTATGTGACAGGGTTCTTCTTGTTTTTCTTGTTTTTGTTGATTTATTGACTTTTCTAGAAACTGAAGACTCTGTTGTCACGATAAAACAGATGACTGAGTGAACGCTTCAGCTCGGTCTGAGACGCTGAAATCTATATTTACGGTGATTTTGTGTCATCAACGCCGTTATTATCGCCACGTTTTCCTCAGAGACTCCTCCTCTCAGAGGTGTAAGAATCAAACGCTCCTCCTCTCCTTTCAGTCTCCTGGTCGGGGCCATCCAGACGGCGGGGATGACTGAGCTCCTGAACCAGCAGGGGGCGCTCACCTTCTTCGCTCCCACTAATGAGGCCTTCAGCGCCATGCCGCCGGCTGAGCTCAACAAACTGATGCGTGAGTTTAAACGGGTCTCTGTTCAGTTTCAGGTCGCCGTGGTCGCCTCCTCTCGTACCCGGGGTCTACAGGAACAAATCAACGTCATGCTGTGAAGTAGAAGAAGAGCGTTAGTCGTAGACTGAGACCATGAGACCGTCAGGGAAATGTAAACGAAGAGAATCAATCAGCTGTGAAGTCGGAGTATCCCTCATAGACTTCTGTTCAATCAGTCGCCCCCTGGTGGACGTTAGAGAGTCTGCAGGTGTCTGTGAAGATCATCAGCTCGCTGACGTCTGTCCTGATGACGGATGATTGTATCTGCGCTCGGCGGGACCGTCCATCACTGGTGTTTACCTGTTGTGTCCCCGTCTCCTAGGTAACCGTCAGGAGCTGTCTGCGGTGCTCAGGTATCACCTGGGGGAGGGCTTGCTGGTCAGCGGGGGAGTCAGCTCTCACACCAGAGTCAAACCGCTGCAGGGGGAGAGACTGGAGCTGGGCGTGGTCAGTCTCCGCCCACACTTTCACGCTTTCAAATAACTTTATTTAAACACAGACGATAACACACACCTGTACCTGTTACAGAGGAACTACACCGTCTACGTCAACAGGATCCCCGTGGTCGAAGGCGACCTGATGGCGACTAATGGAGTGGTCCACGCCATCAACAGCATCATCAAACCTCTGCGTGAGTCACAGCGCCCCCTGCCTCATGTTTGATGGTTGAACAGGATCAGTTTTTGTCCTCAGACTCTGCAGAGTCCAGGATCACGGTTTCTGTGTGTTTGTGTGTCTGCAGCTCCGAAGGTGGAGCGAGAGCAGGCGGACGGACCTGCAGCTCCGCCCAGATCAGCCGCTTCCTCCAGGGTGAGGGAACACACACACACACACACATATGAACACATACACACACAAACACATGAACACACACACACACACACACACATGAACACACATGAACACACACACACACACACACATGAACACACATGAACACACACACACACACACACACACACACATGCACACACACACACACACACATATGAACACACACACACACACACACACATGAACACACACACACACACACACATGAACACACACACACACACACACACACACATGAACACACACACACACATGAACACACACACACATGAACACACACACACACACACACACACACACACATATGAACACATACACACACACACACACACACACATGAACACATACACACACACACACACACACACATGAACACATACACACACACACACACACACACGAACACATACACACGAACACATACACACACACACACACACACACATGAACACATACACACACACACACATGAACACATACACACACACACACACACATGCACACACACACACATGAACACACACACACACACATGCACACACACACACACACACACACATGAACACACATACACATGAACACACACATGAACACACACACACACACACACACGCACACACACACACACACACACATACACATGAACACACACAAGAACACACACACACACACACACATGCACACACACACATGCACACGCTCACACACGCTCACACACACACACACACACACACACACACAAGAACACACACACACACATGCACACACATGCACACACACACACACACACATGAACACACATACACACATGAACACACACACACACACGCACATGAACACACACATACACATGAACACACACAAGAACACACACACACACACACACACGCACATGCACACACACACACACATGCACACACACACACATGAACACACACAAGAACACACACACACACACACACACACACATGCACACACACACATGAACACACACACACACACGAACACACACACACATACACACACACACACACACATGAACACACAAACACACACATGAACACACACACACACACACACGAACACACACACACACACACACACACACACACACACACACACACAGATTTGAGAAAAGCGTCCCAGCAGAGCGCGGCGGTCTCTGCTCGCCTCTGAACTAAAACTTTAAATCATTGATTTTAAATCGATTGATTGATCTTCTGCTGGAGGTTCTGATGATTTTCTCTCTCTTGGTTTTTTCTCTCAGGTCGACTCCAAGAGCTTCAGGGACGGTGAGTTTCCTGTCCGTCTCACTCTCCCGCTCTAACTGACGGTTTCTCTCCGGTTCGATGTTTCCTGTTTGTTTCTTTCAGACGATCTTTTCCAGAAGGTGGTCCGCAGCCGCTCCAGCAGGGCGATGGCTAAGAGTCAGTAAAACTGCAGAGGAGGAGGAGGAGGAGGAGGAGGAGAACCGTCCCATCAGAACTTCACCTGTGCTCATCACAAAGGGTCAAAGGTCACAGATATAAGTCCTCCGGTCTTCAGTTTCTCCTGTTTCAGAAACTCTGAAGCAGGAGAAACTGAAGTTCAGCAGGTTCCTGTCTGATCGGCAGAGCGCCTCACTTTGCCCTGAGTTTGGCCTCTCAGGCGGCTCTGACGGCTGATTGGTGGCGCTCCTGTCTGAAAGGTCACAGGTCATCATGATAGAGTAAAGTTTGTATTCATGCATCAATATTTTCACTCTGATATCAAACTCATGTAGCTTTTTTTAGACAGGAAATAAAATCCATGTATGTTTTTTTTTTTTTTTACTGCGTCTGAAACCAAATAAGCATCTCTGCAGGTCGGTGAAAGGCATTCTGGGAAGTGTAGGAGGAAGTGAGGAGAAGAAGAAATCGAGTTTTTAACAAGTTTCTCTTTTTTATGTTTTTACTGTTTTTTTTTTTTTGTACTGTAAAGAAGTTTGAAGTTTCACATGTAAACTTTTGTTAAGTGTGTGTGTCTGTCTGTGTGCGTGTGTGTGTGTGTGTGCGTGTGTGTGCGTGTGCGTAGACTCTGTGTGTGGTGGTCCTGCAGCATGTCGCAGGTCTGAACACACAGAGACTCGCTGTTTTAGGATTTTTGTACAAAATAAAGATGAAAATGAGCTTCAGGAGCCTCCTCTGTGTGTGTGTGTGTGTGTGTGTGTGTGTGTGTGTGTGTGTGTGTGTGTGTGTGTGTGTGTGTGTGTGTGTGTGTGTGTGTGAAAGCCTCAGGGGTTACTCGGGGTTCACGTCTCTCTCTGTTGGTTTGTAAAAAGGCTGCAGAGCGTCGACGCGTCACAGCCGTCACGCCGACTTAAATCATGTGTGACCTGTGCACGTTTCCTTCACGTGCACGCTCCCCCTGCGCCGCTCAGAGTTGAGAAACATAAATGAGGTCCAGGTGAGACCAACAGAAACACAGATCCTTTTTTTACAGAGTCTAATATGAGACAGTGAACGCCTCACAGATAGACGTTCACTGTCCTCTAGAGGGACGAGGAACACACACACACACACTAACACACACTGAAACACACACACACACTAACACACTTAAACACACACTTAAACACACACTAACACACACATTTAAACACACAAATAGATTTAAAAACACACACACACACACACATACATAAACACACTTTAAACAAACACACAACCATGTATTTTAACACTCAAATATTTGAACACACATACATACACATAAAAACACACACACTCATACACACACACAACATATAAACACATTCAAACACACACACACACATTTAAACACATACACACGTTTAAACACACACACACATTTAAACACAAACACACACATATTTTCAGGGAGATAACCTCACATCCACTCACACACCTTCAGGTCTCCACTTAACTAAAATAAAAAAACATCCCAGAATGTGTGTGTGTGTGTGTGTTTAAGTGTGTGTGTGTGTTTAAGTGTGTGTGTGTTTAAGTGTGTGCACTTTCCTACCCCTCTTGGTAAAAGTGTTACAACACCAAGTACCTCTCTTGGATAGGTAGGAAAGTGCACACACACACACACACACACACACACACACACACACACACTTAAACACACACACACACACACACACATATTTGTAGATTTATATTGAATTTCCCTTTGGGGATTTATAAAGTTCTTCTTATTCTTATTTAAACACACACACTTAAACACACACAGACACACTTTAACACACATATTTAAACAGATATTTACACACACACACACACACACTTTAAAACACACACACACACACAGACACACACACACACACACACACACACACACACACACACTAAAACACACACACACACACACACACACACACACACACACACACACACACATAGACACATATTTAAACAGACACACACACACTTAAACACACACAAACACACACACACTTAAACACACACACACACACATATTTAAACAGACACACACACACACACACAGACAAACACACACACACACACTTAAACACACAAACACACACACACACACACACTTAAACACACAAACACACACACACACACACACACTTAAACACACATATTTAAACAGACACACACACACACACACACATATTTAAACACACACACACACACAGTTAAAAACTCGTTTTATTGCAGATTCTGTGTTTTTTTTATCCGGTTGGAGGAGAAACGAGGAGGCGGATTCGGCTCCAACTTTCCTCTTCATGATGTGTGAAACTGTTTCTGACTGTGGCTCAAATTTAAACCCAGAAGAAGAATTTAAACAGAAACAGACCCGAGGAACCGAGGAACCGAGGAACGGAGGAACGAAGGAACGAAGGAACGAAGGAACAGAAACGGAGAGGTGGAAATCAGAGCTGCTGCTTCAGGACGCTGGTTTAGGAGTCTTCAGGTTTCAGGTTCAGGTCAGATCACCGCAGAACAAAAACAACAAGAACAGATTATTACAGATTATTATTATAATCCTGATGCAGGTCAGAGACCGTGCTTCATCAGTGAGGTCCACTCTGAAAACCATCATCATCATCATCATCATCATCATCGCGAACGTCTGTTTAAACCTTTGAGAGACCCGTGAAGCTCAGACCTGAAGGTCAGGAGGTCTAACTCTGCTCGGAGGAGGTTCATGTGTGGGATAAGTCTTTCCTGGTCCAGGTGAGTCCCTGTGAGATCAGACCTGGACGAACAGGAACATCGTGTTAGAACAACAGAACAGTCCGATCCTTCAGCAGAGTCAGAAAAACACATAAATCCCTGAGGAGTCCAGATTTAAAAACACTCAGACTGAGTTTTCATGACAAAAAAAAGGGGGCGGAGGACTTTTCTGCAGGACCAATCAGAGCTCCTGAAAAAAAAGGAAAAAATCTGGGGTCTTTGGTCAGGAACCTCCCCAGATCTTAATCCTATACAGAGAGTTTATGGTCAATCGAACAAACTGACACTCGTGAAATAATGAAACTTTAAAACATAAAAACAAGAAGATCTAAAAACGCTGAAGCAGCAGAGTTTGTGAAAATTCATATGTGTGTCATTCTCTAATCTTCTGACCTCGGCTGTAGTCCTGGTCCGGCCCTGACGTCTCTCTTGACGCCATCGTCGTTTTCTTCTGCTTCATCCAGGTCTGGCAGCAGCTTCAGGACTGAAGCCCAGACGGCGAGAGATATAGTCCCTCCACCTGGTCCTGGGCCGACCACGAGGTCTCCTCCCGGTGGGACATGTCTGGAACACCTCTAACAGGAGGCGTCCAGAAGGCGTCCTAACACCTCAGCTGACTCCTCTGGACGTGGAGGAGCAGCGGTTCTCCTCTGAGCTCCTTACCCTATCTCTAAGGCTGAGCCCGGACACCCTGAGGAGGAAACCCATTTCAGCCGCTTGTATCTGCGATCTTGTTCTTTCGCTCATTACCCAAAGTTCATGACCATAGGTGAGGATCGGCACGTAGATCGACCGGTAAATCCAGAGTCTCTCCTTACGGCTCAGCTCTTTCTTCACCACCACTGATCGGTTAATCGTCCGCATCACTGCTGACGCCGCTCCATCCTACCCTCACTCCTGAACAAGATCCTGAGATACTTGAACTCCTCCACCTGAGGCAGGACCGCCCCTCCAACCTGGAGAAGGTGATTGACCTTTCTCTGACTGAGGACCATGACCTCGCCGCTCTCCTGTCCCACGCTCCTGTGGTGGTTTTCAGGAACAGCTGGAGTCTTCCTGCTGAGTCAGAGTCTTTTTATCAAACCGGGATCTGGATCGGACTTTCCCTTTAAACAGACATAGATCCGTGTCTGCATAGATCTGTACGAGAGAGGATGACGACCTTTGACCTGACCATCTTTAAATCCTTCAGCTCCTGCTGTTTTATCCCCTGAAGGTGTTTCTCCTCAGGATCAGGACTCAGAGCTTCTGTCTGTCACTGCAGCTCAGAGAAACATGCTGAACTGGTGTTTTTATTGGATCCTCATGTTGGATTTTATGAGCGGATCAGAGCCGAACGCCTCCGTCTGTCAGGCTGATGACAGTTTGATGCAGAGCAGCTTTCAGGTCTGCAGCTTCTGTCCGTCTCCACGTCTTTGTGCAGAGATGATGGACAGCAGCAGATAACGCGACACAGATGCTGCTCGCTGCAGGGCGGGGGTCTGACCCTCAGACGCCACACGGAGAATCAGAGAAACATGAGAAGATCTGAGGTTCAGCAGTTCAGGCTGTCACCTTCACACAGGTGAATGAATCATGAAGTGAGAGGATGATCCTGAGAGTTCATGCTTTCATTCTCAGAGTGAAGACCTGAGGACCGAAACTAATCTGAGTGACTTTAAAAACAAACTGAAAACAAACATTTTTAGTCTTTTAACTCAATTTTATATCAACAACTTTAAGAGTTTTATCTCGTTCTAGTTTTAATAACAGGATCGTCTTTTATTGAGCTACTTTGATGGTCTTATTTTACTTTCTTTTACTCTTTTTATTTCATTTTATTGATTATTTCTTAAATTTCATTTTATGTTACTTTGTCTTTAGTTTTTAACCTCCAGTGTTTCCTTATCCTGAGTTTTAAAACGGCCTTTCCTCAGTGCCGCATTCCTGTTTCCAGAAGTGAAGGATGAGTGAGGTCAGAGCGCCCCCTGCTGTCTAAAGAAACACGTCATACAAGTAAAACCAGCCCTGGATAAATACAGTCAAACTCAGCAGCTGCTGTTTCTGTTTATAAGTTTGAATTCAGAGTTTGGACGGAGATCAGAAACAACATGACGAGAAAAGAGGGAAATTATTATTATTATTATTGTTATTGTGATTATTATTATTATTAGTGGTAGTAGTAGTAGTAGTATTTTATTGTTATTATTATTATTATTATTATTATTATTATTATTATTATTATTATTATTTTATTGTTGTTATTGTTATTATTATTATTATTATTATTAGTGGTAGTAGTAGTAGTAGTATTTTTATTGTTATTATTATTATTATTATTATTATTATTATTATTTTTATTATTATTTTATTGTTGTTATTGTTATTATTATTATTATTATTAGTAGTAGTAGTAGTAGTATTTTTATTGTTATTATTATTATTATTATTATTATTATCATTATCATTATTATTACTATTATTATAATTTTATTGTTATTATTATTATCATTGTTATTATTGTTATTATTGTTATTATTATTGTTATTATTATTATTATTATTATTATATTTATTATAAAGTATTTAATTTTAAGTTTGTCAGTCGGCGGATTTCTTTATCTGCTGTAGACGTCGTAGAATCAGGGAAATCCTGGAGTCCTGAAACAAGAGCTGACAGCAGAAGATAATAAAACAGCAAAAACAGAAGATTAAACTGTGGTGGCCCAGAAGGTCAATGAGATAAATGAATAAATAAATGAATGATGAAAGGCAAAAAAATATATATATTTGATTTTACACACAAAAAAATATTTTATACATCATGAAAATAATTAACATGCAAACAAAACACATTTGAAAATATTTAAAAAAATTTAAAACAAAAAAAATATTTTTAAATGTGTTCTAATAAACTATTTAAAAATATAGTTTCTTTTCTAAAATATTTTAATGTTTACTTTTTTGCGTTTTACTCAAAATATTAAAGATCAGATTAAATAAAACTTTATCTGGTGTCATTTTCATAAAATCAATGATTTTATATTTTTGTCTGTTTATTTATTCAACAAATCAACGAGCTGATGTTCCTGACTCAGTCCACAGGGGGCGCTGCTGTCCTGTTTCCCTTGTGTGTCACATTAGTTTCAGTCCGACTCTGAACAACATCCTCACATGTGAGAGAAGCAGCAGCAGAGACTGCAGATGTTTTCCTCTCTCAAAGATAAAGTCGGTCAGGTTTTGTTACCGGGAGATGAATTCTCCTTTCAGGCCGACGACACCATCTCTCTGTCGGGTCCCGTGAAGCCGGAGAAGATGGTGTGTGGTCCGGGTCTGAGGCGGAGCGGAGACCGGCTGCTGGTGTGTAAAAGCGGAGTCCTCCGACACAAACCCCCCAACATGTTCTGGATGGACTCCCAGCAGAGGAGGGTAAACTCTCTTTACACTGTAAACATACACGTATTAATATTCATGTCTGCTCGGTGTTCATGTCTCTCTACAAATGTTTAGCGTGTAGGGGCGGCATGCGGAACTCCATTTAGAAAACCTGACATTTAAGGTTTTTATCTCCTTTACTAATGTACGAACAATGCGTCACAGTTTTTGGACTTAAGTCACATTAATACACCACCTTATTGATTACGGCTCTAAGAAAATGTTCTCAAGCTGCTTTTTGTGCCTTTAAAGCTAAACTTTACTCTCTCAGTCTGCCGTTATCTTCTCTGTCCGCTGGAGGGCGCCAAGCTTTACAGCAGCGAGTAAAAGTTCCGATTATTGAGTGAAAAAGTTCCTCAGGTGATGGAGACACTCCCCGAATTATTCACAAAACACCAAACATTTATCACATTTGTGTTTTTATTGTTTTTAAATCAAGTGTCATTGAGATTTATACTTTATTCTTAAACTGAACAAAGTGTAAATGGAGTTCAGCAGTGAATCGCTTGTATCGTGATATATGTAAAAAGTTAGGACACGAGGATCCTAAAAGGGGACATTCCTGGTAAGTACAGGTGTAGCAGCAGTGCATCCTGGGATCTGAGTGTGTCTCTGTCCTCAGTATGTCCCTGTTAAAGGAGAGACGGTCATCGGCATCGTGACGGTAAAATCAGGAGACGTCTTCAAGGTGGACTTTGGAGGGAGTGAGCAGGCGTCTCTGTCCTACCTGGCATTCGAAGGAGCCACCAAGAGGAACCGGCCCAACGTCCAGGTAGGACTCTGAGGACAGGAAGTCCAGGTGAGACACCGCTCCTGCCTGTTTACCTGACCCACCCCCCTCTGTGTGGTGTACCTGTGCAGGTGGGGGACCTGGTCTTTGCTCAGTTCTTGGTGGCCAATAAGGACATGGAGCCCGAGCTGGTCTGTGTGGACAGCGTGGGACGGGCCAATGGGATGGGTGTGTTTGGATCAGGAGGTCTGCTCTTCACCGTGTCTCTGGGACTCGTCAGGAGGTCCGCACATCCTCAGACTCTCATGCCCCCCCCCCTCTGTCCCTCTCAGACTGTAATAACCCCCCCTCTCTGCCCCCCCCCCAGGCTCCTGGCCCCCCACAGTGACGTCCTGCAGGACCTGCAGCAGCTCTTCCCCTGTGAGCTGGTGGTGGGGATGAACGGCCGTCTGTGGGTCAAGTCCTCCAGCCTTCAGCGGACCCTCGTCATCGCCAACCTGCTGCAGAGCTGTGACACCATGACGGCCCCCCAGAGACAGACGCTGTTCAGGAGGGTGGCACAGGGGGCGCTGTAGACCCCGTCAGACCCTGTCAGACTGAAAACCACACCTGCAGCTGGACGGTCCGATCCACCGCTGAGTGAACGTGGATTCTGTAAAAACTGATCCTGGATCAGAGTTTGAAATCATAAATTATAGATTTCTAGTTTTTTTTACTCTTCATAGTTAATGATGAATCTGATGAACGTTCGGACCTTTATCTGCTGTTTGGTTTGGATTCATTAAAGGGACATTCTGCTGTTTTCACACTCAAACTGTGTTTCTTTAAAGTGTTTGTACTTTTGTATAAAACAAATAAACTTTTTCATTAAAGGTGGAGAAAACAGGAATCTGTTAAAGAAGCATCTTTTTATTTTGTGGTTTTTATACAAAAATCTTCTAATATCAGTCAATAGTTATTAGTTATTGATGACATTTGGTAATATATCGATATCTCTGTGTTCTCTTATGTCTGTGTCGTCAACATTTGAACATTGGGAAATTGGTTCAGTTGATCTTCAGGACGGCTGCAGCTTTAAGAACTTCTGCTTGTTGGAGTTTGAGAGTCTAAAGTTCACAGAGACGCTCCTCCTCCTGGATCATAAAAAATCTTGATAACCTCTCCCAGATCTGATCAGGTCCAAAGTCCAAAGTCTGAAGATGGGTGTAACCAACATAAACTGAGCTGACTTTAGATCAGAGCTCAGACCGGGAAATAAAACTCAGTCAGTCATCGTCGACAGCGAGTGTTGAAATGGCGCAGAAAGGAGTTCATCTGGACCATGAGTCTCTCTCTTGTTCCATCTGTTTGGATCTTCTGAAGGATCCGGTGACTGTTTCCTGTGGACACAGCTTCTGCATGAGCTGTATTCAATCCTACTGGGATACTGAGGATGAGAAGAAGATCTACAGCTGTCCTCATTGTAGACGGACCTTCAGACCGAGGCCTGTCCTGAAGAAAAACACCATGTTAGCAGGTTTAGTGGAGGAACTGAAGAAGAGCGGACTCCAAGCTGCTCCTGATGGTTCCTCTGAGGCTGGACCTGAAGATGTGGCCTGTGACGTCTGCAGTGGGAGAAAACTGAAAGCTGTCAAGTCCTGTGTTGTAGAAAGTCCAACATAAACTTAGTAAAACAATGCACAGGAGACAGGATGAGATCTGAAGAACAACCTGGGCGTCTTTAATAGTACAGATGTAGAAATCAGTACAGATGACAAACAGCGTCTCGACCAAGACCAAAGGAAGCACCCCTAGCTTTTCTTCTACTCCCTTTTATCCTGTGTGAGTGTGTGTGTGTGTGTGTGGTGTGTGTGTGTGTGTGTGTGTGTGTGTGTGTGTGTGTGTGTGTGTGTGTGTGTGTGTGTGTGTGTGTGGATGTGTGTGTGTATTCTCCAGAAGGCCTCTCCTGATGTCTTGTCTGCCCCACGACACTTGGTTCAGGTTCGTCTTGACCCAGGCAGAGATTACGTGTTCCAACAGACAGATAGTTTGGGCTACTGCAAGACAGCCTTGCTTACAATCTCATGGTCGTGGGGCTGCAGGATCAGGCCAACCTAGATTAGTTGTGGCTTCTTACTAAAAGATCATTACTCTACATTTCTTAACCTAAATGTATAAAGAGATTCCCCTACACAGTCCCCCCTTTGAAAGTTCTTACTTTCATAAAAACCTGATCATCAAATCAAAACACTAAACATCCTTAAGTGATTAAAATAAACCATGTTCACTAAATTCTAAATGCTACGAGTGTGATTTGCTGCATCTAATACTCAATAATACATGACATGAAACAAACATCAGAATGCATTAACCAGTTATATGAGTAATGTAACCTTATCAAATCGTGATATAACTCCCTCAATTATGCAAAATTTATATAAAACATATAAAATTGTGATATCAATTATCAAAACTGCAGTAATCAATGTTCATTGGATAGCATGATAGCTCATGTTGGTGCTTTCTTCATCATCACTCTATAGGATCATTTCAAATTATATCAGCGCGTAAGACTGAAAACCCTGCTCGGTTGTTTTAACAGGGAAAGAATCTTACGGCCCCGCGCCCTGGCGACCATCCATTTCCTGGATGCGCTGATATAATTTCATTTACACAGAAAAGCAGTCAATTTCTGATATAACATTACATTACATTGTAGCAACCTGCAACAAACCCCTTGATTAATATTTGATTAACCCCTTGATCAGTGTATGATTAGTGTAGTCCTTTAACTCCGCGAATGAACCATGCTCAGTTCAACACCCCGGTGCACTGGATATGATGTTTGTGTCGCTGAAAATCCATTGCTCTTCTTCTTCAAAGTCCAGGAACCGTACAGGTCCCTCAGTCCCTCCTTCATACAACACACGCTGTGCCAGCTGTTTCGGGGGCATTCTATGCATCTCGTGGGCCAGAGCTAAGCTTGCCATGAGTCCCATTTGCTTCTCTGTCCGCCTCCCACATTGTCTCCGAAGGATGGGTACGATGCAACATGTGAGAAAGAAAATCAGAATTAGAACTATCGCAGCACTCATGGCTGCTTTGGCCAAAACGGCTCCCCATTTTCCTAAAATTTGGTCCAACCAGTCCAGTGACAGGTATCCCCCTTTACCAGCATTCTTCTGAAGTTCTGCTCTCAGTCCCTCCAGGTTTTCCATGGCCTTAGAGAAAGCTCCCTCAGGAGCTGTGTTGTTAGGGATATAGGTACAACAATATTTTCCAAATCTCGCACACACCCCACCTTTTTCTGCTAACATCCAATCTAAAACTTGTCTGTTCTGTAATGTCATTGTGCTTGTGGCATGAAGTTGTTCACCAAATGCCTTGAACATTTCAGTTGAGTAATTTACAAATCTCTGCTGTGTGTAATATAGGTAATTTATCCACTTTACATTCTTATTAATTGTTATCCACGGAAGAATGGACTCCAACCCAGCTCTTACTTCATTTTGGGCCTTGAATTCATCTGGTATGCCTGTCGGCAGGCCTATCGCATCCAATTTGATTGTTTCAAAAGGTGTGAACTGACGCTTAACCCTTGACGCTCCCTCTGTAATGTCTTTGATGTTAAGGGCCTGGCTTACACCCTCATATGTCATCACTACTGATATTCGTAGCCTCACTAAGGCACATAACCCTATCCACTTGTATGGAAGGACATTTCGTAACACGTCATCCCCACAAATCCAGTAACTATCTGCAATCCCATTAGACTGTTCACAAAATAAGTGTAAATTTGGAGTCGTCATAGTTAAGTCTTCACACTTTTCCTGACGTGGACCTGGGTTTTCGAACCACACTGGTTCATGTACAAAAATTGGAGTTCTTTTTGCGTGTGGAAACCAAGATAGTACCCAAGTAACATTGCAATGTACAGTAGTGTTCCCCACTTCTATACCTCCGGAGTCATTTAAGAATCCCCCACTAGCAAAACACTCATAACTCTGTGTGTAGTCTACCTTGTATGCCATTGGTGGCTCAATTTGATCAGTTGACAGCTGGAATTCTGCACATTTAGAATCAAGCTTGCAAGTTGGACATTTATCTAGGTAATCATGACTACGTCTGGACCCATATATAAGCCTACACACAATACCACAAATAGGATATTGGAACAACTTCTGATATAAAGGTGAACTCTCTAGCACGTCGCTATTCACTTCGAACTTTCCCTCTTTACATTTCTGACTTTGGTATTGTGCACACTCTCTAAATGTGTACTTCTCAGGAACTACGGTCGGAACTGACAGTGGAGATTCAGTGCATAAAATACATTCTTCAGGAACTACCCCTTTAGCTGTAAACAATGCCCATTCATACCACCCATTATACCTGGCCATCTCCCACCTTTCATCCGGATAACTCTTAATGCTTCTTAAGATTGGCTGTGTGTTTCCCCAAGGTTTTCCCTTGAACAATACATCCATTCCTGGCTGCTCATCAGTGTTTCCTGCATTATCATAGTTATCATAGTCATCCTGAACTGTGCTGTCATCTTCTCCTATCTTCCTACCATGTGTGGTTAACATAGTTTGAGTTGTGGCCCATGTCTTTTTTACCTCCTCACCTATTGTGGTCACTGGACCTGTTCTAGCAGGTGTCACACCTGGCTGCTTTGCTGGTCCTTTCCTGGGTGCTGATGCTGTTATCTTTACCTTAGGATCGTTTCGAACCCTGGCTGGTACTGCTACCTTTCCCTTCCGGGACGGCCGCTTCTTTATTTCCCTGACCCACAATCTATGTCTGCCCCTTTCAATTTTTGTCTGTTTTTGTGTATGACTGTGGCCTTTTATGTGTTGTTTTTCAGAGAATGTTGGCATGGGGTCTAACACTGTCTGGAGTGGTGTGGATTGTGTTTGGGTTGCATCATACTCACGTTCGTTGACAATGTCTCGGGCTCCTTCTTCGGACAGTAGTATCGGCACCAGTGTGACCTTCGTCTGCGCCCCCTCTGTCATCGCGTTCTCTCTTTCCCTTTCCACGCCTACGTTGCCCTTTAGCAACCACATCAGAAACACAGTTACTTTCAAGATTAGTAGCACATTCATTTTTGGAGTCTTTCTCGTCAAGAATTGTACTTCCCTTCGGTCTCTTTGGCAGTTTCGTGCAGTGACTCAGATGATACCACGTCGTGCTGCCCTCTACTTGCACCGAAGTAGGTGTAGCCCGGACCACAGTGTACGGGCCTTCTCTCCGAGGTTCGTGCCACTTTCTTCGAAAGACTTTGATGTAGACCTGGTCCCCTGGCTCCACTGGCCTCTCCACCTCTTGGTTTGGATCAGGTTCACGGCTCTTCTCCTGCAGATATATGGACCTATGTATCGCAGTCAGTTGTCTTATATACTCCTTTAGTTCATTCTGCAACTGCTCAAGTGTGGGGCCCTTGTACGGTCCTCTGCAAGCTGGATGAGGCATAGGTCTACCAGTTAGCATCTCATGTGGCGACAGATTAATCACTCTGTGCCTTTGCATGCGATAGCCCATAAGCGCAAGCGGCAAAGCGTCTACCCAGTTAAGGTTAGTGCTAGCGCAGATTTTGCTGATTCGATTTTTGATTGTTAGATTCACTTTCTCTCCCATGCCCTGGCTCTGTGGGTGATACACACTGCCTAGTCGTTGCTTGATTCGTAGCTGCTGCAATATGCCCTTGGCAACCTTCTGCACAAATGCAGAGCCATTGTCTGAACTAATCTCTGATGGAATGCCAAAACGTGGAATAATCTCTCTGACAAGAAATTTAATTACAGTCTCGGCGCCGAGATCTTTGGAAGGTGTTGCTTCTACCCATCGGCTGAACCTGTCGATCACCACCAACATATATCGTTTCCCCTGGACTGTTTTAATCATATCCACATAATCTATGACTAAATGTCTGAATGGTCCCTCGGGAACTGGAATGTGTCCTGTTGGTGGTTTCATAGGTCTTTTTACATTGTTTTGAAGACACACATCACAATGGCTCAACATTTCATCAACCATTGCCTGCATGTATGGTGACCAATAACCCTGCTGTCTCAGCTGTCTCATTGGCTGGCTCGCCAATTATGTTGTAGAAAGTCCAACATAAACTTAGTAAAACAATGCACAGGAGACAGGATGAGATCTGAAGAACAACCTGGGCGTCTTTAATAGTACAGATGTAGAAATCAGTACAGATGACAAACAGCGTCTCGACCAAGACCAAAGGAAGCACCCCTAGCTTTTCTTCTACTCCCTTTTATCCTGTGTGAGTGTGTGTGTGTGTGTGTGTGTGTGTGTGTGTGTGTGTGTGTGTGTGTGTGTGTGTGTGTGTGTGTATGTGTGTGTGTATTCTCCAGAAGGCCTCTCCTGATGTCTTGTCTGCCCCACGACACTTGGTTCAGGTTCGTCTTGACCCAGGCAGAGATTACGTGTTCCAACAGACAGATAGTTTGGGCTACTGCAAGACAGCCTTGCTTACAATCTCATGGTCGTGGGGCTGCAGGATCAGGCCAACCTAGATTAGTTGTGGCTTCTTACTAAAAGATCATTACTCTACATTTCTTAACCTAAATGTATAAAGAGATTCCCCTACACCTGTCTGCGATGTCTGGCTTCTTACTGTCAGATTCACCTCCAGCCTCATTTTGAATCTCCTACATTTAAGAAACACAAGCTGGTGGAGCCCTCCAAGAAGCTCCAGGAGAACATCTGCTCTCATCATGATGAGGTGATGAAGATCTTCTGCCGCACTGATCAGAAGTCCATCTGTTCTCTCTGCTGTTTGGACCAACACAAAGGTCACGACACAGTCTCAGCTGCAGCAGAAAGGACTGAGAGGCAGAAAGATCTGGAGGAGAGTCGAGAAAACATCCAGCAGAGAATCCAGGACAGAGAAGAAGATGTGAAGCTGCTCCAACAGGAGGTGGAGGCTATCAACGGCTCTGCTGATAAAGCTGTGGAGCACAGCCAGGAGATCTTCAGCCAGCTGATCCGTCTGATGGAGAAACGCCGCTCTGAGGTGGAGCAGCAGGTCAGATCCCAGCAGGAACGTGAAGTGAGTCGAGTCAAAGAACTTCAGGAGAAACTGGAGCAGGAGATCACTGAGCTGAAGAGGAAAGACGCTGATCTGCAGAAGCTCTCACTCACAGAGGACCACAACCAGTTTCTGCACAGCTACCCCTCACTGTCAGAACCGGGTCAACCTGCAGACTCATCCAGGATCAACATCCGTCCTCTGAGATACTTTGAGGAGGTGACAGCAGCTGTGTCAGAGCTCAGAGAGAAACTCCAGGATCTTCTGACAGAGACGTGGACAAACGTCTCACAGGCAGTGACTGAAGTGGATGTTTTACTGTCAGAACCAGAACCCAAGACCAGAGCAGATTTCTTAAGATATTCACAAAGAATCACACTGGATCCAAACACAGTAAACAGACAACTGTTATTATCTGATGGAAACAGAAGAGCAACATGGACAGGAGAAGAACAGTCTTATCCTGATCATCCAGACAGATTCACTGATTATTATCAGGTCCTGAGTAGAGAGAGTCTGACTGGACGTTGTTACTGGGAGGTGGACTGGAGAGGGAACAGGGTTTATGTAGCAGTCGCATACAAGACTATCAGGAGAGACGGGAAACCAGAGGATTGTTTATTTGGAAGAAATGACAAATCTTGGAGTTTAGACTGTTCTAAAGACAGTTATGAATTTGGTCACAACAACGTCTTCACTGATGTCTCAGGTCCTCCGTCCTCCAGAGTAGGAGTGTACCTGGATCACAGCGCAGGTATTCTGTCCTTCTACAGCGTCTCTAAAACCATGACTCTCCTCCACAGAGTCCAGACCACATTCACTGAACCTCTACATGCTGGACTGAGGTTAGGCTATATTGGAGACTCTGCTGAGTTTATAGAAGTGAACTAAAGAGAAAATCATAAAAATCCTCAAACTGAGTCACTGAAATCACCTCGTCTGTTTGTCTTTATTGTGTCTGTTTCTGCTGGATGTCATGTTACCGCTCCGTCAGAGTTTATTTTTGACCATCAAAGAGAAATGAGACTTATTTCTGTGGTCAAACTCACGTCTCTCACTCCTGTCAGTCCAAACTTAGAGATACAGACAGAGAGAGATTTGGATTTAAAGACAAACTTCATGTAAAAACGACTTTAATCCCGTTAATCCCTGACTCTTTAGAGTTAATCTGGATTTTAAACGTGTTTAAAGTTGTTTCACATTTTGTAAAGTTTTAAGTCCACATCAACTCAGAACTCCAGGGTCCTGGTCCAGGATCAGGAAACTCTGATCTGTGTCCTGATTTGTGAGTCCAATAAAAAGTTCGTTATGATTCCGACTTTTAGATTTATTATTCCGATAAAAGCGGCGCTGCTTCATCTGTGTGGTGCAGACGTTCGTAGACACGCCCACAGCTGGCTGTAAACACCAGAGGAGATAACGACAGTAAGTTCACAGTCCAAGTTCATGGAGTCACGAGTTCATGATGGAGGACAGCATGTGAGAGACGAACCAGAGTTCAGGTTTATGAGCCGATTATGGTTTTATACAGACTGATGGATCAGGATCAGATCTTGTGGTCTGGTCCACAAGAAGAAAACCGACTTAAAGGTGAAGTAGACAGGAATCTGTTAAAGAAGCATCTTTTTATTTTGTGGTTTTTATACAAAAATCTTTTAATATCAGTCAATAGTTATTAGTTATTGATTATATTTGGTAATATATCGATATCTCTGTGTTCTCTTATGTCTGTGTCGTCAACATTTGAACATTTCTGAGCGGTCCGCTCTTTCTGACTGTAAACAAAGCCGTTCTCCACCTCCTCTAACCTGATTGGTTGTGAGGCAGACGCTGCTCCCCCGTGTCGTTCAGGAGCCCAAACAAAGTTAGCGTGCTACAATATCGGACAGTAGAAACCAACCAGAAAGTTCGGAAAATTGTCTGAATCCTCCTTTGGCCACGACTGCCGACACAAGCAAGAAAACAAAGTAAATACCGGAGACTCTGGAGGAATAACGGGCGCTTAAAACGGAGGTAGACCGGACAAGAGCTAAAAAGCCGGGTCAACATAAACGATGGGGGACGCTTGGGGATCTTGGTGACCCTGTAACCTTTCTGCTGGACAGGTAAACCGCTTTAACAAAGTAAGACAAGTGTCTGTAACAGAAGTGTTTCTTGTCTCAAAAGTTAAAAGTTGTTTTTGTTGTTTTTTTCTCAGACTTTCTAAAAAGACTCTTCAGTGTTTCAAACTGAGAGTGAAGGTCAACTCCTGACCTCTGCACAGCTGGGTCAAATATCAGACTCTCCTCGTCCGTCTGGTTTTCAGGTTTTTCCGGATTATAACGAAAAAAATCATAAAAACAGAAAATTCATTGATAAAAGAAAAACACAAATCTCTTCATCATCATCATCATCATCACAACTTTATCTTCATCCATGAACACACTCTGACCCTCCACCACAAACATCATCATCATCACCACATCAGCTGTTTACACTGGATCCACTGTAAGGCACGTTAGAGGCGACCAATCACTGATCAGATCAGCCGGACACAAACTGGTTTGGTCTGAAGACGAACAAACACATAAAAACACAAAAAAATAAAAAAATAAACAAAAAACAAACAAAAATAAACAAAAAACACACAAAATAAACAAACAAACAAAATAAACAAACAAAAGACAAACAAACACATAAAAAAACAAAAAATAAACAAACAAACAAAATAAACAAACAAAATAAACAAACAAAAAATAAACAAACAAACGAAAAACAAACAAAAATAAACAAAAACATACAAAAATAAACAAACAAAATAAACAAATAAAATACAAACAAACAAAAAACGGATAAAAAACAAAGAAAAAGATAAAAACAACCCAACAGATAAACAAACAGACATACAAACATAGATAAACAAACATAGATATACAAACATAGATAAACAAACATAGATAAACAAACATAGATATACAAACATAGATATACAAACATAGATACACAAACATAGATATACAAACATAGATAAACCCCTCCGACAGTCAATGCAGAGGGCAGCATCAAGAAACACATAAACACGTCTGATTGATTGATTGATTGACAGCTGATGAGTCTTTGTGGTTGCATTGATCGGTGATCACTGGCAGCTGATGTTCAAGTCTTTGGTACAAACAGCAGATCAATCAATCAATCAATCAACCAATCAATCAATCAATCAGAAGAAGAGAGGATTGATTTTTGGTTACAGCTGATCAGAGTTTTTACATTTTCATTGAACTTTGGGATTGTTCTAAAAATAAACATGAATCATCAATAAAACCTGATTATCAATACATCGATACACACACACACACACACACACACACACACAGACTCACACACTCTCACACAGTCAGGATCTGGTTCTGGAGTGATCTGGTTCCTGGTTCTGATCCGGTTTATTGGTCTGTACGGTTGAATTACTGTGTCTATGTTCACCTGAACGAGCGCCATTCAAACTTCACTTTTACTTCCTGTCGAACACGCCGTCCGCTCCCTGTTGGTGACGGCGTCTCCTTCAGCTCGGACAGACTTCAGGCTCAGTGACGCTCCACGTCAGACTCTGACGGGCCGCACGTCCAGAACTCTGGGTTCACTTTATAAAACTGTAAACTGTGTAAAACACCACACACATCCTCCACGTCTTCACGGCGCTGTGAGGACCTCATCTGCTGACCTCGGAACTTCACAGTCCACGGCTCACACAGGAACAGGAAACGGCGCCTGGAACTAAACTGCGTGTGACTTTGCTCCTTTCGAACATGTCGGCTTCAAGCGAGAAAAAGGAGATCCAGCTGACGGAGACGAGGTCGATCAGGTGTGATCCCTGAAGAGCGAGGACACACACGCTCCGGTCAGCAGCTTCAGCTCTGGAGGGTCAGAGAGAAGACGGCGGTGACGCCTCAGACTTCCTCCTGACCTGCTGGTTCTGCTGGATCGGACAGCGACACCGAAGCGCTCTGACAGGTCAGTATAAAGGTTGGTGAAGCGTTTTTAACGTCATGTTCTGGAAACAGCCGCTCTCGTTTTACAAGAGCTGAACTTTGGACTCGGACCCGACAGTCCGGTACTCTCTCCTGGGTCTCACCTCTCTCTGTCACGGCGCCGCTGCGGTCCAGATCGACCCCTCAGGGTTTAATCCAGGTGTGAAATTTAGGTTTCATGGTCATTAAAAGTGCAGAAATCCAGGGTTGGTTTGTCAGTTCGGATATAATCTCAGATCTGTTAGAATTTAAGTCTGTCATAGGACTGATTTGATGCCCCGCCCCTTTTTTAAAATGTGTCAAAGGCTCCGCCCCCACCTGCACTCACGAAGCAAGTCTCCTTTAATACCTGCTAACAGTCGACATCAGGGGGAGGAGTCTGCTCTGTTGTCATGGAGACAAAAAGACATCAGTCTGGGACCAGATCAGAACCAGAACCAGGATCTGATCAGACCAGATCCAAACCCTCCATTCATTACCCATAAACCCTCACCAGTAAAGCCCAGACCATGTGACCCAGCAGCCCTGATTGTCTCTGACTGTTAAAAAAGTCCAGGTCGCTGCAGCTGATTGGTTACAGTCATCGTCCAATCAGAGGCCAGTATTTAGTCTCTCTGAGAAAGAAACACAAACGTCGAGTCGGTGTGTTTGTGCAAAAAAAGAAGATCAGCTGATGATTCCAGCAGTCCGATCCGTCTGGACCAGAACTTAAAGCTTCAAGTGTCAAAGGCACGTTTGGTTTACACTGTCAGTCTGACTCCGCCCACTCTCGCCATCATGGCTTCCCAACATCGACGGTGATCTTAGTGTACAGGGGCAGCTTCTCCGTCTTCACCACGCGGTACGTCAGAGACGCGATCCCGTCTTTGTGCATCGTCTCCCGGGTGTGAGCGATCCGGTTAAACCTGACGGGACGAGAGGAGGCGGTCAGCAGGTGAGGACAGGGGAGGACGGGGGAGGACAGGGGAGGACGGGGGAGGACAGGTGAGGACAGGTGGGGACAGGTGAGGACAGGTGAGGACAGGGGGAGGACAGGGGGAGGACAGGTGAGGACAGGGGAGGACAGGTGAGGACAGGTGAGGACAGGAGAGGACGGGTGAGGACAGGGGAGGACGGGTGGGGACAGGAGAGGACAGGTGAGGACAGGAGAGGACAGGTGGGGACAGGTGAGGGGGTGAGGACAGGTGAGGACAGAGAAGGACGGGGGAGGACAGGTGGGGACAGGTGAGGACAGGTGTCAACACATAAGGCAAAAGTCAAACCTTGATGTTCTGAAATTGTGTTTGTTGTTTTTAAATATTTTGTTGATTTAAATATTTTTTTGTTTTTAAATATTTTGCTGTTTTTAAATATTTTGTTGTTTTTAAATATTTTGATGTTTTTAAATATTTTGTTGTTTTTAAATATTTTGATGTTTTTAAATATTTTGTTGTTTTTAAATATTTTGATGTTTTTAAATATTTTGATGTTTTTAAATATTTTGTTGTTTTTAAATATTTTGATGTTTTTAAATATTTTGTTGTTTTTAAATATTTTGATGTTTTTAAATATTTTGTTGTTTTAAATATTTTGATGTTTTTAAATATTTTGTTGTTTTTAAATATTTTGTTGTTTTTAAATATTTTGTTGTTTTTAAATATTTTGTTCGTTTTAAATATTTTGTTGTTTTTAAATACTTTGTTGTTTTTAAATATTTTGTTGTTTTTAAATATTTTGTTTGTTTTAAATATTTTGTTGTTTTAAATATTTTGTTGTTTTTAAATATTTTGATGTTTTTAAATATTTTGTTGTTTTTAAATATTTTGTTTTTTTAAATATTTTGTTGTTTTTAAATATTTTGATGTTTTTAAATATTTTGTTGTTTTTAAATATTTTGTTGTTTTTAAATATTTTGTTGTTTTTAAATATTTTGTTGTTTTTAAATATTTTGTTATTTTCATACACAGGTGTGTAAAAACCTGTCCAAGTGTTTTATGATCCACTTCCTGTTTTATTCACATTGCTAATTTTCACCTGAAGGGGGCGTGAGGTTCACTCTCACCCATAACCACTTTGTAAACACTGTATAAAGGACCTTTTCCAAACCACCTGTAGTGCCTTTGTTGCCCAGCAGAGGGCTCTAGCTCACCACCTACTGTCACTGAGGTGTCTGACTGAACATGAGAGCAGGTGTGATCACCTCTGAGGGTTGGGCTCGTTCTTTTTGTCTCTCTCGTGTCGAATCATCCGACATTTCCCGACGTCGCCGCTCGGTCTGGAGATCCCCATCCCTTTAGACGCTATCCTGAAACACACACACACACACACAGACACACACACACACACACACACACAGACATGGTGGATTGTGTGAACATGGAGATCAGGTTCCTGGTTCCCTGTTTGGGTTGAACAGCTGTGGTCATCATCTGTTCTTCTCAGGCTGGTTGGACTTTTACAGGAACATCAAAAAATGAACTTCTGTTTTTTGACTCTTTTCTTCTGATTGATCAGATATCAGATCAGTAAAGTGATCTCTGTGTGACGCTGCATACATGTACTAACTGAACTCACTCTGTTCCTCGTCTTGATCGACCTAACGTTACACTTTTAAATGTTTATTTAATCCAAGGATCAGACTGGCCACGTCGAACAACCTCGGGTCCAGATGGTCCGTTTCCATTAACTTTGATTTGAGGGTTTGTTCAGGTGAGATGAAACACACCTTCATCACTGAAAACTCAGACTCTAAAAACCAACCAGGGGCGTCCTGAGCCGATCTGTTTACATGGAGGATCTACGGATGAATACAACGAGGGCTGGGCGATAAAACGGTAACAATATATATACTGAAATTAATTTCCTCAATATCAATATAAAACATGATCAATATCTTAGTCAATAGTCGTCATTCTGACATGTTTTGGTCGACTATACGAACAGCCAATGAAAAGGGGAGTTTCTCCGGGTCTGAACCAATCATGTTCTGAATTAGAACCAAGTATCAACCAACTGCAGCGTCGTAGCAGACAGCAGCTCCACCCAACCATAGCACTTTAACAGGTGAAGCCGACAGCACTGTTGGTGAGAAACAAAGAAAATGAGTGCTACCCCCGACAGAAATGACCATGAAGGCTCAACAGATGACCACATCAATGTCAACCACAACACTGGCGTTAGGAAAACGTCGGTGGTGTGGAGGTATTTTGGTTTTTGGAGGTCGGACATGAAGCAGAGTAATGTGGACTGTAAATTATGTCGAGTACATGTTCTCACAAAGTCGGGGAATACCTCAAATCTTTTTCACCACCTGAAGCAGCGCCACGCCGCAGAGCACGCGCAACGCAAAAGGTTACAAACCCCGAGAGGAGCGAGGAGCCCATGGCGCCTGAAACAGACGACCATTCAGTCGGCTTTCTCTAGAGCAACGCCTTCAACGGACACATGCACGCAGATATCATAGACGTGTGTGTGTGTGTGTGTGTGTGTGTGTGTGTGTGTGTGTGTGTGTGTGTGTGTACCTGTTGTAGATGTCGTCGTCCTCGCCCCCCCACCCCCAGTAGTTGTTGGGGAAGCCGTTGATCTTCAGGAACTGGTCTTTGCTCATGGAGGACACGCCCCCAAAGTACTGGTTATAGGGTAACCTGCAGACACACACACACACACACACACACACACACACACACACACACACACACACACACACACACACACACACACACACACACGTGTCATATGACTCCTGCTGTTTCAATAAAGTTTGGTTTTGAACAGAAACGTGTTCTCTGAGGGACCTGCCGCCTGTTTCTAACTCGAAAACAGGAAACGAGGAGATAAAAGTCCACTTCATCAAACTGTCACAGCGCCGCCGCCGCCGCCGCAGCAGAGAGCGAGAGTGTGAGAGACCGTGTGACAGGAAACAGGAAGTAAGGAGCCTGACAGATGGAGGATCTCTTCCTCTGTGGTGTCTCTGTCAGCACTTCCTGCTTCCTCGCCCATCAACTCAGAATGAACGGACAGACGCCCGATCGGTCCACTTTCACCGCCATGGTCCTGATAACTCCTCCTCCTCCTCCTCATGTCTGTGTCATTGGTTCAGTTGACGTTCACGGACGCTCTGTGCCGATCTGTCGGTGAATGTGGGCGTGTTGACGCTCTTAGTCTGAGTCATGGCGATTAAGAAGAACTTTATTGATCCCTGAATCTTCTGAATCTTTCTGTCCTGCAGCGAAGAGAGAAGATCCGTCCACCACCGTTGGTCCTTTGGTCCATCAGGGTGTTGTGAAGTGGATGATCCATGTTCTTCAGAATAGTCTCCACCTTCCTCAGTGTAGATCTCTCCACTGAGTCCAGCCTTTTTCTCCAGTTTGTTCAGACGTCTCCATCTTTGTGTTTGATACTTCCTGATAAAACATCTGCAGCATCTAACTACAGACGTCTATGATCGGAGTCTTCTCAGGCTAAAGAGGCGGCTCTGACCCTTTCTGGAGATGAAGTCTAGGTTCTTAGACTAGTCCAGCTGATTATCCAGATGTACATCTAGATGTTTATATGAAGTCACCACCTCGATGTCCACAGGTGTTCACAGGCTGAAGGTTTGGATCTACAGAAGTCTATGACCATCTCCTGTCTTTGAGGTGTTGAGGAGGAGGAGGCAGGTCTCCAGGTCTGAGAACAAGGACTCAGGTCCATCAGGAAGAGTCCGGTCTCGGTTTTACTGGACTGAATGTGAACAGTCCTGATCTGATGGTGTAATGACGGTGTTACACTCCTCTGAACAAATACACTTTCATTACATTTGCACAGTGTGTGGATGTTTGCACTGCCATTGATGTGAAACACTCTGAGGCCTCCTTTGTGTGTTTGTGTGTGTGTGTGTGTGTGTGTTGTTTGACTTCCTGGTGTAATGCTGTTTGGAGAAGGTGTCATGGCTGAACCGAGTTCTTGTTAATCATCAGCTGCTGACAGACTGATCACTTTCATGTGTGTCGTTGTCTTTTCAGACTAAGAGGAAGGTGTGTGTGTGTAGGTGTGTAGGAGTGTGTGTACCTGAAGCCAAACTTGTCCATGGACACGCTCAGGTGTCTCGGCTGGCTGAAACACTTGTAGGTGTTGCGGTCGTCCATGGGGATCAGGTCCACGTCGCTGAACACGAAGCACTCGTAGTCGTACTCCTTCAGAGCCTCCGTGTAGCCGATGTTCAGGAGCTTCGCCCGGTTAAAGATCTCGTCCCCGTCCTGTGCAACACACACACACACACACACACACACACACACACAGCATTAGGAAACATATGTGGACCGTGTGCAACAAATCAGGACGGGTTCCAGCCGAATATCCATGATATCTGTCACGTTTAACTTCTATCCTTCTTCTATCCACTCAGCTTGAGCCCCTCTGGACCTCCTCTGGACCTCCTCTGGACCTCCTCTGAACCTCCTCTGGAGATGTCCTCCAGGAGGAACCCTGACAGTTAGACTCGTGATCCAGCAGAATGCAGGACTGCACAGAGACGTGGATCTTTGGCCAAAGGGGGACAGTCTTGAACAAAGCCCAGTTGTCCTCTGAGTTTGGGTGTTTCTAAGTTTCTGGTCAAACATACTGGAGTGGGATTTTCTCGGCTGTTGAACTGAACTCATGATTCTGGTTCAGGAGAAGTCCATGACTGGACACCAGGGTCTGAAGCTCAGGAGACCGAGTCTGTTCTCAGTCTTTAATTCCCAAGAACACGGACAAAGACGTCAAACAGGATCTGTGCTGCACACCTGTCTTTACTGAGCAGAGGAGGATCAGACATGAACAAACAGATTCATGAGAAATAAGAGCGATAATGATGATGATGATGATGATGATGATGATGATGATGATGAGGCTCAGATGAGAACCTGATGATAGTCACAGTCAGCTGAACCCTAACCCTCTCTGTTTGTTCGAGGTTATAACGTTCACACTGAGCACTCAGACAGGAAGTGTTTCCTCAGGTCATTAAGACCCCGACACTCCAGTTTACTCAGATCCGGTATGAACTGGTTGAACAACAGGTTCCCTCTAACTGGTTTAACTGGTTCAGTCTTTGACAGCGCTGGAATGGATTCTTCGTCTAGTCCCGGGTGGAATCCTCTCTCCGGATGGGGAGTCGGTCTTTAACCAAAGGTTGGAGCTTCATCACGAGGACATCTCCGTTTAGGGACAGAGACTCCTGAATAGACCTAGAACACACTAGAGGGGTGATACACCCTGTCAGGTCTGGTAGCTTCTCGAGTCCTCCAGAATGAGCTGGGAGAAGGATGTTGGGAACACCTGTAAGGCCCGCTGCTACCCCAGGAGTGGGTGGTTGGACGAACGGCTCAATGGTTGATTGGTGGTTGGGACGCTGGATGTTGGATTTTTATTGGTCGCTCAGAGTGATGGTGGGTTCGGTGGCGTAAGGGACGGACTGATGGTTACTGGTTGGTTGGTCAGTAAGTTGGTTAGTTGGTCTACAGACAGAACAATTGATCGGCTGGTGTGGTTTTGGCTAAATGGTTGGTAATTGGTTAGTTGGTTGGTTGGTTGGTTGGTTGGTTGGTTGGTTTGTTGGTTCATTACTCAGTTGGTTGGTTGATTGATGAGTTAGTTGGTTGGTTGGTTAGTCATTTGGTTGGATGGTCATTTGGTCTACAGACCGGACGGTTGTTCTGCTGGTGTGGTTTTGGCTGAATGGTTGGTTGGTTGGTTGGTTCATTACTCAGTTGGTTGATTGATGAGTTAGTTGGTTGGTTAGTCATTTGGTTTACAGACTGGACAATTGTTCTGCTGGTGTGGTTTTGACTGGTTGATGGGTTGGTCAGTTGGTCTACAGACCGGACAGTTGTTCTGCTGGTGTGGTTTTGACTGGTTAGTTGGTTGGTCAGTTGGTTGGTTGATGGGTTAGTGGGTTGGTCAGTTGGTCTAAAGACCGGACGGTTGTTCTGCTGGTGTGGTTTTGGCTGAATAGTTGGTAGGTGGTCTGGGTCCCTGAAGCCTCTTAGCACAGACTGCTTGTTCAGGGTCAGTCTGTTCGGACTCAGCTGCAGCTGCTTTTATAGTCTTTGTCCAAAACTTTGGGACAGGTCACCTCGACGTTCAGTTACTTGAATCAGTTATTTCACATTAAATCTCAATCTACTGGTGAATATAAGGATCATTACTGATAACCAATGATGAACAGGTATGTGTACCTGCAGACACACACACACACACAGACAGGAAGGTGTCTTCATGGTGTTCGTCTAATGAACACTCTCCTCAGGTTTCTATAGTAGGTATTTGTCTGCAGTTACAGGTTGCTAGGTGACACCTGCACTGAGCTCTCAGGTGTGAGGTGTGCTTTTTACCTGCGGGCCTGCAGAACATTGCCTCGGCACGTTAAACTATGAGCACAGTGTTCTTATAAAAGATTCAGACTTACAGTAGATTACCTGTTAAACATGTGAAAACTGAGCTGAGATCAGTGAGGACAGAAAACATGTGATGAAACATGAAACAGGCGTGTCAGAGTCACTCCCTAAACTCGACTATTATTCTGAGAGATTACAACAACACCGTCTATCCTGATCTCATGACCACCACGAACAACGCTGCAGCATATTTCCTGATGTTGAACAGACCTGTTGTTATGTTTACGCAACATCGGAGAGTTTAAACTGATCAGTTCACCAACGAAGTTCATCAACTCCATTACAGACACTTAATTAGATCATGTGTTCACTGTTTGTTGTCATTTAAAGAAGACATTACAGGAGCCTTCACAGATGGGGAAGATACCCAGGACGTGGACTCTCATGATCCCCGGACCATCAGGGATGCTGGATTTGGACTGGGAGCCAACCCCCAATTTTCCGAGATTTTCGCCGTCCGCCAATTCCTACCGGATCTGTTTGTGAGGCGAATTTCATGGCGGATTACTGACAGCAGGAATCTCGAGAACTCACAAGAACCCGCAGATTCACGTTCAATCACACGATAACGAGTTGTCCCTCTAAAGACAGACACATAGACATATAAGCAGTAGATTGTGTCCTTCCAGAGGAGGAAATCTACTTCTAGACTTCTAGAATCAGCATCTCCTCATCCATGGTGTCATCGGGGTGAAATGACGTCTAAAAACCTTTCACTTGTTCGTCTCCGCCCGTTTGCATGGTGTGAAATACGATCCTCCTGAAACACGGAGTGTTTTATTTTGAAAAGAAGCCGGATGTTTTATTTTGTGTCTGTGCCCGACTTCCTTTCCAGC